AAATCATTATACACAATATTGTGTTTCTGACGCTTGATTCCTGAGCTGGTTAGCATCAGACTTCCTGGTACCTGCAGTATGTTTTAACCTCTCTATAAAATGACAAAGTTATCCTGGATTTTTTTTTTTTTTTACTTTTCAGAGACTTTTGCTCGGCAGGGAAGGTTTTGTACAGAATATTATAATAAAGATGTTTCAAATATAAAAGAAATCTAAGTTTGGCAGTTCACTTACACTATAATGTTAGAATAATGGTTTATGACATGTATTTATTAGTAAACTTCCATAATTAAATTGGTTCCTATTAATCATTCTCATGCTCTTGTCCCTAAAGCCCTCTCACAGAGAGGCTGTGTATGATATTTGAATATTTTGGAAAACAGCAGAACATGTTTTGATCATCTTATAGAAAGTTGACAGTTACCATGAAGAAGCCATAAAAATGTGTTGAGTTTGCATTTTGCCTGTTCTTATAAAAGCCAGCACCCATAGCCTTTGAAACAGTCGTGAGGGCTACAATAAACTTTCTCTCAGAAAATGGATCCATACACACAGAAACAGCCTTGTTAATGATGTTCACATGTACTGAGGCTACTTGAACCCCTTATATACTCTTTCCATGGCCCTAGGTTGTAGAACCCCACCCTGTAGTAAGAAGCGCAGGGGGCCCTTCGCCCCAGCTTCCTGGCTAGCTTACACCCAAAATAACCACACACAAATTGTATTAATTAAATTGCTTTGCCCATAAGCTCTAGCCTCTTATTTGCTAACTCTCACATCTTGATTCAACCCATTTCTAATAACCTGTATGTCACCACGAGGTCGTGGCTTACAGGGCAAGATTCAGCACGTCTGACCTGGCAGCTTCATGGCAGCTCGGCTTGATCTGCTGCTTTCTTCCTCCCAGAATACAGTGCTGTCTTCTCCACCTATCAGGCCAAGCAGTTTCTTTATTGATTAACCAATGAAAGCGACACAAATACTGAAAGACCTCCTACACCACCACTCTAAACACATGCACTGTTCTGTTTCTGTTTGCATTATTTGATTTGAAAATGCTTTGCTAATTGTCCAAGCATGTTGGTTAGTTTAGAAACAAAAAAAAAAATAGATTGCCTAGCAAGTAACATCGTCATTGACAGAATGTCAGTCAGTCAGTCAGTCTGACTGTCTGTCTATAGCTGTATGCAGGTGCCCTGCATGGTGGATGAGAACATTAGTGTGATAAAGGGAACACTGGTGTGAGAAAGCCCGGGAACTGGACTGACATAGTTTCCCTAGAGATAGTTTAAGGAAAAAGTCCTTGGAACACACAGGTTGGTACATGAACCCATGAAGAAGCAGAGACCATTCCTTCCCCACTGATCTGAGACACTACCATCTTTGTTATGTAAGTTCTATATGTTCTTGTATCCGTCTCTGGTCTCTACTTTGGGTTCTGTCTCTTTGCCGCTGTCCCACTGTTTACAAGACCCTGCTTTTATTCTTTATTTTGTTGTGCTATGGCAAAAGCTTTTCCTTCTTCTCACTGGAAATCCCAGCCTTGGCCTCCATCTTTGGAGGCCCCTCCCCTGTGCCCTGAAAGGTCTAGACCACTCCCATGGGCTGTTGAAACTGCTTGCCAGAAAATAAACACGTGGTTTTCCCATTTTTGTCTCAGGTGGTTGCGTTGGTGACCTTCTGTTCCCCTCAGGGCCACCAGGGAGCATGGGTGTCTAATTAAACCTGGATATCTTTTAATCTGGTCTGATTAGGCTTGATTGGGATAATTTTGCATTGGCAGAGAGCTCACACTAGAAAATATTCTTAACACTTGCCTCTCAAATATTATTCCTGTCCAAATCTTTGTTCTTATTTATTCTTCCAAATAGACTTTTGAATTATTTTGTTTGCTATTCTTTGAAAATATTCAGTTTGGGTTTTGAACAGAATATCTTAAGTTTGTAGATTAATTTGGGGGAGATAAATCTTGCCTGTGTATCTCATTGTTTCCAAAGTGTCGGTGTCCGGTGCCAGCCCGGACCATAAATTATTTCTCCGGACCAGCGGGGAGGTGTGGGAATAAAGACACAACTCACATGGCTTTGTCGGGAGGGAGATTCTCAGTGATCCTTCATGAAATCCTGAGTTCACATCCTGAAAATTCCCCCATGTTTATTCTCCAAACAGCTTTTATACCAAACCGTAAACTGAGGGGGAAATTCATTAGCATTCTGTTTCCTAGGTAACCAGGTGAATGGCATTTAGCCACATCTTCCTATCTTCCTGCTCTGCATGCCAGCTCTGTCCAATAGGCCGAATTAGATCTCTATCCTCCAAACTACAAAGAAAGGAGGAGAACGATATTAGCATATCTTGATCCTTTTAGGATGGCGACATCCTGTCTGGAAGGCTATGTGACCACCTTCTGTGTGGCCAGGTATGAGCTGGCCTGTAAGTCTGGCTGCCATACAATATAGGACCTGTATAATATTGCCCCACATCAGAGGTTTCAAGGAAGTATTTTTTTAATGCTTTATTTTTATTTTTTCTGTGTATTCTTGTTTTACCTGCCTATATATTTGTGTGAGGGCATTGGACTCCCTGAAACTGGCGTTACAGACACTTGTGAGCTGCCATGTGGGTGCTGGGAATTGAACCCTGGTCCTCTGGGAGGAGCAGCCAGTGCTCTTAACCGCTGAGCCATCTCTCTAGCCCTTCAGTGAACTATTTCTAATGAAGTGTTTGAGAATTTTGTATGTGGCGCCGAGTGAGTTGACAGAAAGGTGCCAACACACCCATCTGCAGTTGCGATTCTGCGTTGATCCATCGGTTTTATTAGGACAGGTTATTGTTTTCAGTTGTCAGAAGCAAAACTTGCAGCTGAGTTCAGCTGGGGACGTGAGCGAGGTTTGTATGTGGCAGCTCTGTAAGCTGAGTCTGTCTTTACTGCATGGCGAGTGAGTGGCTTCTTAAGAAGAGTGGTAGACTTTCAGTGGCCACGGTGGCCAGAGAGACCTCAGCCTCAGCCTGGGGTTGTCGCCTGCAACTGTCACTCTATGCCCATTCTTTCAGGAGTCCCTTCCGGGGAATCTCCTGCACAGCTCAGCCTAGTTGCTTTCTTTGGAGGCTCTCATTCCTTTTCCTGAACGCCACTATTCTTACCATGATTAAACTTCATTTCTCTGCCTCTGTCTCAGCAGCTCCTTCCGTTGACTTCAGCACCATTCCCTTCCCTAGCCAGAATCCTCGATTGCATTTCTGATGTCCTTGTGATTACTCAGTGGGAGGTCTCATCCTTAGCGCTGGAATAACTAGGTCACCTCTCTCCAGTGGACATATCGTCTTTACCATCATAAAGTGTGGTGTGGGTCTCGAGAGGAAAGCATCATGCGTCCAGACTGTGTGGTTAGGGGAGGATGTTGTGGTTAATCTCTTGCCTAAGTGGTAGTCCTTGTTCGCCTGGCCAAATGAAAGCCTAATCTGACCATTGTTTGGAGTTGGTGCAGATTAGATATCTTTGTGACCCGTGAAAAATGTTTGATCTATTTATACAATCTGCTCTGTGTTTAAGAAAACCGCCAGGCTCTATGTATGGAGAATTTGCAGCCCTGTTGCAGCCAGGACCACGACTAAAGCAAGCTGTTCTCCGTTTTTAGGAAATGGAAAGTCGTCCGAGTTTCCTCTCTCAGTCCTGTCAGATGTGTGCTATTGTTTTCGGCTCTCCTTCCTGTGCTCTTTCTGAAGCTACGGCATGGCAGGTTTCCCTTGGCACGTCACTTTTTGCAAATTGCGCTTGTGTGACACACGAACACAAACAGGCTCACATGCAAAGACAGGAAAATTTGGAACTGAGCGCGTGTGTGTTTTCCAGAACACTGCGGTTTATATTTACACTAATTCATAATTTTCAGTGCCTTTGTGAGGGTGCGATTGCAAGCCAGTATAAAAAGAGAGCGATTTTATTCCAAAAGCATTTTTAGGTCAAATAATGATACGGTCACAGGGAGGAGGAGCTCCATTTGGACTGTGGCTTGTTCCCCCTTTACTCAGCATCCCACAGGGTCATGCTGCTGTAGGGCTCTGTCAGGCTGACACTCGTGTCCAGGAGCCTTACTCTGACTCTCCCCTGCTTCCTTTTCCTCTCCTCTCAGGATGAGAAACTGGTTTATTTTTGTTAGGCAGTTACACAGACAGCCAGAGCCTTCTCCACATCGAGTAAGCTATGGGCGTCTCTAGAGTAGATGACTGTTCTACTCCTTGCTCTCACTTCCCTGCCACTCCCTTAGGCGGGGCAGGATACATCCTTTCTCCTTAGAGGTCTGCTCTGGGTTGCCTTTTTGTACTTCAGGCAAGGAGCATCCTGAATCCTTTGAGGCCTGCAGGACCCTAAGATGATCTGGCTGACTTGGCTGTCGGCTAGCCCCTGACAAAGCCCCATGTACCAAGACCACGAGCCTGTTGTCTCATTCCTTTGAAGGAATGCTTCTTCGTGGAAGCAGGACACTTTATAAGGCTGTGTACTCACCAGAAACTCTTTATGCAAGAGAGGAGGCCAACCCAGATGAGAAAGAGGGCTTAGGCTTCATTCAGAGGAGATGGGCCTTCTTGTTTATCTGAAAAATGTCTGTGAATATTTATGGTTCATGAACAGTGTTCTCGCACATGCCAGGGCCTGAGCTAAGAGTAAGTATCATGAACCTTTATGTTTATGGTGGTATTTCACATATGCACAGTGTTGTATGAGGGATAAGAATTCAAGGTGGTGAACAATCACACTTGGCATATCTAGCAAATTAAAGAAATACTTCTTTCCTATTCTTGATTGTCTTTGACTTTCAGAGCAGTGCAGGCCTCCCTGTCACCTCAGGGAGGCATTCTGGGAAAAGGTCATTGTTGGAAGGAGGTTTCGTGACATTTGTGCTCCCTCCCATGAAGTGTCTGTGACAAGTGTCAGTGTTGTGGGCCTGTGCCCTCCCAACACGGAAGTGTACTGATGCCCAGACTTACTTGTTTTTCAGGGACAGAGGACGGTCTATGCAAAGTTTGGGAAAAATGTTTATCTCCCCAAAGATGCCGAGTTTTACTTTATTTATGATGGGTCACATCAGAGACACGTGGTGATTGCTGAGCGCATCGAAGCTAATGTTCTTCAAGCCAGCATTCCAGGTGAGGATGCTTCTGAGAGGTAGGGGTGGGAGGCATCTGTGTCTTCCCTCCAGGGTATCTGCCAAGAGAAGAATCACAAGGAAAAAGAAGAAACACTCGCCAAGTTCAGGAGTTCACGTGGGTGTATATGTATGCTGTTAGGGAGGCCACTTGTCCCATGCCACCAACTCCTGGGGTCCCTCCGGTAGTGTCTGCCTTGACTTAGTCCCGGCAGGCTCATCCCACTGGCTGCCCCAGCTCTCCGTCTAGTGTACTTGGTGCAGCTAATGGAGGTTGTGTGCCTTGGATGTCACCTCTTGAGTTCCAGCCTGATGCCTGGGTTGGCTCTGGACAAGGTGACATGACAGACCATGTCTTCATTCTCCTTCCTTATTCCTCTGTGGTCAGCCTGGCAGCCCTAGGAACTTACATATAACAAACAAAACAAAACAAAGAAGCCAAAAGCAAAAAACAAAAACAAAACAAAAAACCCAAATGCTTGGCAGTGGTGTACATGCCTTTAATCCTAGCACTTGGAAGGCAGAGGTGGGTGAATCTCTGAGTTTGAGGCCAGCCTGGTCTATAGAGGGAGTTCCAGGACAGCCAGGGCTATACAGAAAAACCCTGTCTTAAAAATCAATCAATCAGCCAATCAGTCAACCAGTCAGTCAAACAAACAAACAACAACAGTGCTGCATTTGTTAATGGCGCTTGTCATTCTGCTGTTGGTCCCTTCCCTGCTACCCTTTCACTCTGGCAAATGCACTTACATCTTTTCTGTTCCGAGTTTCTGTCACACCTGTGCCTGCTGGTGTGCCTCCAACTGTAACACCCGCACCTGCATTACTCTCTTGGTACAGTTCGCACGCCACTGTACCATAGCGAGCCGGGCAAGGGCCTGGAGATTGAAAGAACACACAAGAGACCTGGATCATTCGAAAGGAGATCAGCCGAATGCTGTTTATTCAAACTTAGGAAAAACCTTAAAGTCCTAGCTGCTACACAATGGAGTAGACCCCAGGCAGGTGGGAAATTACCATGCCCAAGGTGGAGGACGCAGGCCTGTGAGCATTTGCCAGTGAGCACAAGGGCCCTGCGCTCCGGAGGAGCTCAGTGACTCTTCTCAGTCCAGCCATGACGTGGTCCTGGGGGTTCGGATGCTATGGACACATGGAAACTCTACAAAAGACAAAAACACATAGCTGGACAGAAACTTACCAACCATAGCAGAATGAGAAAGCAAGACAAAGAAGAGGGGTGTAGGGAGGGCAGGTGACAGGGTGACCAGCCACAACGGAAGTAGTGAGAACATCCACAAGTCGCAGGAGCCATTTCTGGAGGGGGCCTTGGAGAAGGCCTGTTTTTTTTTTTTTTTTGTTGACTTTGTTCATCTACAACAGACTCTGGTTGGTAGTCTTTATCCCACACCCAAAGCAGCTCCATGGATCTAGGGTGTACTTCAATAAGTTTCTGATAGGGTTTAAAACGCCTGTTGTCTCAATAAATGACTAAGGATATAGGATACTGTTTATAGCAGAACAGAAAGAGTGAGGGGCCCTCATCTGGCAGACTGGAACCTAGGGGTTGGGCGGGAGGGAAAGGTGAAGTGTGGGAAGGGGCTGTGGTTGGTGGGAAGGGACTTTGAAGTCCTCAGAGCTCCTAGAGGATCAATTAAAACCCCAGAGTCACTGAAAAAAAAAAGGATGATATCTGCTCATGAGTGGACCTCAGGATGATGTCACCCTACTTTCTACTTGTCCTCTGGAGTGTGCTGTCTACTCGGGGTAAATGGTTTGTTATTCTGCCATCTAGGCCATTGGCTTCAGGAGACCGTGATGGTGTCTGTGTGCCTTTGCTCAGAAGGGTACTCCCCAGTGACCATGGGCTCCGCGTCAGTGACCTACGTGGACAACATGGCCTGTAGACTGGCTCGTCTACTCGTCACTCAGGCTGACCGGCTCACGGCCTGTAGTCACCAGATGCTGCTGACCCCGTTTGCCCTGACAATGGAAGCCCTGCCTGCCTTGGATGAGGAGCTGGTGCTGGCCCTGAGCCAACTGGAGCTGCCTTTGGGCTGGACGGTCCTGGGAAATTTCTCTCTTGAAGGTAGGTCCGTGTCAGAAAACTCAGGTGTGCAGTGTGTTCTTTCTATTTCAAGTCCAGGGTGTGCCTTAATGTTTACCTTCTCTTTTATGGGTAGATTTTTCTTGCCACCTTTTAGCTGAACCTTTAGCCCTAATGTGGCTTGGTTCTCTGAAGTCTTCATCCATTCATCTCTCAGCTGGCTGCTGCTTCTGGGCCCCAGGCAGTCTCAGGAGGCAACATTCAAGGGCTTTGCTGCAGGTGGTGGTAGTAGTGGTGTTTCTTTATGGCTGGTTCCTGAGCCTGTGGCTTTGGACTCTTAATTCCTTTGGCCAGTTTGTTGCCATGAGAAGAAACCATTGTTGCCATCATCCAAATAGGAAAGAAGGACAATAAGAGCTCTGGGAACTGCTCAGGAGAGATGAAGCCTGAAAGAAAGGTAACAGAAGAGCTGACATCTCCAACAAAGGAAGGGCCAGGAGATGAGATGGCTCAGTGGGAAGAGCTTGCTGAGCAAGCTTGAAATTTGATCTCCAGCGCCTACATAAAACAAAACAAAACACCAAAAAAGTGGCATTTGCAACTCCACACTGGTAAGATGGAGGCAAGATGATCTCTGGGGCTCCCTGGCCAGCCAGTGTGGCTAAATTGGTGAGATCTAGCTCCATCTGGAGACAATGCCTTTAAAAAAAATCAACACGGATAACTTGTGAGAAACAACACTCTGGCCTCTCCATGCACACGCAGCACACAAATGTATACCTGCATTCACACCATCATGCACACACAAACTCACATACACGCACGTGCACCTGCACACGGGAGCCCTAGTGCATGCACAAGAAGTCAGTGTTCCCCAATGCATTTATAGATTTTTTTTTTTTAAATTGAGAGGTAGATTCACATCACTGCCAGTCTGAAGCCAGCCTGGCCTCTACATAGCGAGTGCCAGGTCAGCTGGGGGAGGTCCAGAGATCATCTGTCTCAAAGTGTTTTCAAGTTAACACACATTTGTATGTATCTATCAGGTATGCTGTGATCATTGTATACATGTAAGCAATGCATGTTGACCAAACCAAAGTGATTATTATTTCCATGTCCTCAGTTATGCGTAATTTCATTGTATTACATTTGCACTAACTTTTAGAGTTACTAAGGGTGGCTGGATTCTTGTTCTCCAGTGCTAGGATTTTTGTAGAGCTATGGAAATCATATATAAGCCCACTTGGGTATGAAAGCAAGCTGTTCAGTAGATGTTCCTTTTAAAAAAACTTTCATTTATTATTTATTCCATATATATATATATATATACACATATATATCTATTACTTATTTAGATTGAGGGGGCTTTGTGCCCCAGTGCACATGTGGCAGTCAGAGGGCAACTTTCAAGAGTCATCTCTCTGTCTCATTATGTGGATCCCACAGATGAAACCCAGGGCTGACAGCAGACGCTTTACCACCCAGCCAGCTCACCAAGTCACTTAGCGCTTTCCTAAGGTGATTACAAATGACTTTGTGGATGATCCAGAGGTACTGTTTTCTGCACACTGCGTACGTTGTCAATGCGCTGTTTTCCTTTCACGGCTTCAGCTTTGTGGTTGGATGATGTGACTTCAAAGAGTTTGATCCCTGATCAAGTCTGGGTGTGACTTACAGGTTGGCTTAAATTTGACCGTGGGTGAGATTGAGTGTTTCACTGTAAGTAATGGGTATGGTTTTTATAAACAGGGTACTGAGACCATTATCTACAGCCAGAGAAGATACTCATCTCTCCATTCAATCAGAGTTATTATAAACCTTCCCAGGGCACTTCTGGATGTTTCTGATTTTTTTCTAAGACCTTGGATAAGAGGAATCCAGCACTAGCCTGCATGTGAACACACTTAAGCCGTGGGCCCCCAAAGAGCAGTTTATATGCATACGTGGTGCTTTGAGTTTTCCATGTCAGAATTCAGAATTTAAGATTTTCTAACGTCTGTGGATTTATAATAGTATGTGTGTATGATTTCCCAGTGTATTTGCAGTAGTACATGCATGATTTCCCATGTTGGATATATATTTCTGATAGATATCTATAAAACATAAATTCAGAGAGCTGTAGTTGCCTAATGCTGTCCTGCCGCTGTTTCCAAGGCTGTCTACAGATCCATTCTTGGATAAGAGAAAAAGGGAGGCAGTTCCTTGCCTTTTGACAGTGAGACATTTTACAAAATGGAAAAATAGTTCCTAATGTCAGAGTTGTTAACAAGAGTACCTTCAAGTCTGGTTATCTCCTTACCTTAGGAGCCCTGGCTGGGGGACCTGTGCAAATCACTTTGTATTTAATTTGGGTGTTCACAGATGAATCGTATTTCATTTATTTATTATTAGTTTCAAAACTGGTACAAACAGTAAATGTGTTTCATTATGGGGTTTTTGCAGTTCTTTCTCTTGTTTATTCTTTTACTCCACTAGCCTCTCTGAGCCCTCTGTCCTCCTCAGTTGGTCTCCTTCACCCCCTGTGACCACTGTTTCTATGTCACCTCACGAATGTTCTATGGCCTGCTTGTTTTTCTTCCCAACCCCCACTTGGGTTGTTGTCTCCTCTCGTCCTCCTCTTCCTGGTCTCTTGACCTTTACCAGTATAGTGATGACGTAAGGATTAGGCTGAGGGTTGGGCCTGTGAAAATTTGTATTGTATTCCTGCTGGGGACATCAGTCATAAGCAGAATCCAGTTTCCTTCCTAGTAATTGTGTTTGAAATTTACTCATTTCAACTGAAGGAACATAAAACTATCCCTGTTACTGAGTACTGTGTAGTGCCTTGATAGGTGTGTCCATTATGTAATGTTTAAATCTGGTTGAATAGACTTCCTCTCAAGTACGCATCATTTCTTCGTGTTTGAACTTTTCAGAATCCTTTCCTGTACCCCTTTGACATATACAGTTGCTGTTACCCAGAACCCTTTGCTCCGGTCTAGCTGTCACATCACACCTTCTGATGACAGGTCCCCTCCCCACCCTGGCCTCTGGTGACTGTTTGATTCTGTTTCTGTGACGGTACTTTCTGAGAGGCCACATGTAGATGGGATTGTGTGGTACTGGCTTGTCTGTGTCTGGCTTTTTCTCTGTAACACAACGATCTCCAGTTCCAGTCCTGCTGCCATAGATGACTGGGTTTCATTTTTTTTTTGGATGAATCGTATATGACTGTGTTTTCTTTCTGCACTCATCGCTCGTTGCATATTTTTTTGGCTATTATGGCTAGGGCTGCCCTGAGTATGAGGTTGTAGATGTTTCTCTAGCTGTTTTCTCTTATTTCATTTCCTTTGCATATCTAGTAGTGGAATGATGGGGTTACGGGGTTTGCTCTGGTTAGGATTTTTAAAGGACCCTACAAACCATTCAGCCGTCGTCTCTCTTAGTGCCCGTCAGAAACACTGAAAAATTTCCCTATTCATCCTTTAAATTTTTTTACCCATTTTTAATGATTTCTTTAGATATGAACATTATTTTACCAGAGGATTATTAGTTAACTTGGATAATAGCTTTTGTAGAAAGAGCCTGACTCGAGGCCTACTGTGAAACGTTACTGCGTTCCTTTGTATTCTGTGGTGAAATTGTCCCTTCTTCCTTCGATGGCGTCAAGGAGAGATGATGAGGGGACACTGCATCCCTTAGAAAAGCAGGGTCTCCTCCTGGCCTGTATCTTGCACCTCAGCAGTCATAATACAACTTTGTTATCCATGCAAGAAAAGGAAGTGCCCTAGGTTTTATTTAATTTCAGGCCTTCCATTAAACTGCGCTCCTGTTTCATAAAATTAAACCCATTTCTTCTGTGAAACAGCTTTTATGATAGAAGCTTTTGCAGGGCCCCCGAACTCCTTGTTTGCAGTAAGATGCGGAGTGGAGTAATAGAATTACCGAAGAAGAGGTCAGTTTATCTGCTTTGTTTTGGGTTTCTTGCCTGTTTGTGTTTTGACAGCAATGTTTTTGTGGAGATTGGTATAATGTAGACAATTAGGTTAACTGGGATAAATTTTCTAATGTCTTACTGATTGGCACTCAGGGGACATCTGAGTTGAAGCCTCCCTTCCTGCTCAGCCAAATGGCTTCCCTGCATTTGTGTTTCCAGAAGCCTGGCAGGGATGGCTGATAGGTCAGGCTTTACCGGGTGGAGGCTGCCATGTGGCCTTCTCAAGTCTAATGGTGTTGGTCTTGTGAACACAGTTAATTCTTTGCCAGCCTACTGAGAGATACAGCTTGTCCTGTGAATGCCTTCTAACTAAAGTGTGTGTGTGTGTGTGTGTGTGTGTGTAAGACCCCTTCTTTTAAAAGGTCACATATAGTATTTTCACATATATTAATACACATACATTAATATGTATCCAGTTGGCAGATTGGAGATTTTGTTTTGTAAGGTGTCCTAGTTAGGGTCTCTATTGCTGTGATGAAATACCGTGACCAAAAGAAAGTTGGGGAAGAAAGGGTTTATTTGGCTTTCACTTCTACATTGTAGTCTGTCATTGAAAGAGGTCAGGACAGAAAAACAAGAGAGAAACCTGGAGGCAGGATCTGATGCAGAAGCCATGGAGGGGAGCTGCTTACTGGCTTGTTTACATGGCTTTTTTGTTTGTTTTTGGTTTGTTTTTTGAGACAGGGTTTCTCTGTAGCTTTGGAACCTGTTGTCCTGGAACTAAGCTCTTGTAGAGAACTCACAGAGATCCGCCTGCCTCTGCCGAGTGCTGGGATTAAAGGCGTGTGCCGCCACGGCCAGACTCAGCTTGCTTCTTTATAGAACCCAGGATCACCAGCCTAGGAATGACACCCCCCACCAAGGGCTGGGCTCTCCCCCATTGATCACTGATTTAAAAAAATGCCCCATAGCCAGATCTTACGGAAGCAGTTTGTTCCTCAGTTAGGTTCCTTCCTTTCAGATAACTTTAGTTTGTGTCAAATTGACATAAAACTATCCGGCACATAAGGGTAAACTAGTATTGTGAAAAGTGGACTTTAAAACCCTCTGTAGGTCTGTAGGTAAA